AAAAGGAGGCTTGCTTGGCGGTGGGCCACCGAGACCGCCAAACGCCCGAATGCTTTGGATGGCATCGTGGGGTCGATCCGGGCGAGTTTCGCATAGCGCGGGGAGGCACGCCATTTCTCAGCAGCTCGAGCGCGGAAAGTCGCCTTCGCGACCTGACGGAGCTTGGAGATAGAGATGAGGAGAGGCTTGCGGAGGCAGGCTGGTAGGGAGGGGGCAGGGTTGGCATCTCCCCGTGCAGCCCTCTTGGCGTGTTCGTCGGCAAGCTCATTCCCCTGCACTCCACAGTGTCCTGTCACCCAGCGCAGGGTAAGGTGGATTCCCAGGTGTTGCCGGCGCAGTGCATCAATGCGCGTGTGCAGGAGGGTCCGTGGGACTTGATGCTACTACTTAGCATAATCGACCTCGAGAAGATAAGTTGAATATTGCCATTTTACATGTAACTTATATTCTTATCCTGCTCCAGAACATTTTCGAGGTAAACAGGCCCACCACTACCATTTTATCAGTCTGTCATTAGGGAAATTCAAAATTGATGCAACTGGGCTTGCAGAAAGTTCTGTGGCACAGATGCAGATTTAGACGCTGAAGAAAATGTGAGCCCAGACGCAAAAACGAGAAAAGATGCCTATGTCTCCTGCTTATCTAATGTCACACTCAGATATACAATTGCAATTATCATTGACATCAAGGTACTTCAGGCAATCAGGACAGCTTGATGCTTGTGCGGACATGGACATGTTTTATGCCTTGAAAATCTACATCTGGTATGGGAGTACCAGAAAGATCACAGGGACTATGGACAATCTATACAGATGCTGTGGGTATCTCCATATGTCTTTGATGTCATCCCCACTCTTATTACAACTCATCCCATTTTTCATAACAATTCAAACAATCCCCAAGCACCTGTTCAGACCCAACTGGCACTCACACTCTATTGAATGGGTTTTGGAATGGGGCTTGAAGATGTTGAAATATAAATGTGGCAATAAACCTTACCTGTGTTGACTAGAC